GAGGCGGCCCCTCTGCTGACAAAAGCAAAACTCGCTGGAGAGGGGGGGGTTGGATAGAGCTTCAGGTGCCTTTTCAAATGACGAAGCTCAGTCCCCTGCCCTCCGAGTCCATTTAGAAACACTTCTGCAACCCCCCCAGGCACGCAGTTCATTCAATATTGATGTCTAAAGTTGTCCTGAAATTCAATATGATTCGATACAAGTGCCTGGAGGGACACTGTGCAAACTTTCAAATGGGTTAGCATACTCTAGCTACTTACAATACCTTTACATCTCTCGAGCCTCATCCTCGGGAGAATGCAAAAAACAATCAAAAACATCATGTGCCAGCTAGTCCAAGCCGACTTCTTCTCTGTACCGCTGCAACTGAATCTGCTGCTTCAACGTCTGGCTTGTGTCTGCCTGGACATGACGGCCCACCAAAGCACGTCGCTCCATCAGCAAAGCGTTGCGCTCTGCTTCCACTGCAGCCAAACGCTGGTCTAGTTCTGCTAGTCGCTGGCTAGTGGGCGCATCATTCCAGTGTGTTTCAGGCCGCGAGGAAGTAGAAACTCCTCGTAACCACTCAGACTCCCCAAGATTGGTGTCCTCATGCCTGTGCTGCAGTTCACGATGCATTCGGCTCACAAAGGCTGGGTACTCAGTGAGAGAGAGGAAATCGTCCAATGCTTGAGAACGCATCGCCTCATCCAGAAATTGCTCCTCAAAGGTCTTTGCTTGAACCAAGCCCCACAGCATCAAGGCATTCTGCATCGTCAGCTCAGCCTCAGCTTCAAAGCGTTGGAATAGACTGAACCACTCTGCCTTCTGCTCGATCTTGGCGACATCCGGGCTTCCAAGCTCTGCAAAAGCAGGGCAATTCGAAGCGAAGAAGTGATCAACAAAGTTGTTGCACTCTGATGCCACCAATCCGATCACTTGGTTCTGGTTGGCCATGCTGATCTCAGGACAAAGTCCTATAGCAATGAGACTCTTTGGTGCAAGGACTGTGGCTTGACTCAAAAATGGCTTCATTGAACCTAAACATCAGGTCCGTGCGGATGCCAACCATGACATACTCAATGTACTCCAACTCAGTTGGTCGCATCAGCGACATGAATGTGTGATGTGCAGCTTGGTGACCTATTTTGCCAGCTTGGTCTTTGGAACTCGATCCATCCATCGAGCCCAGGAGTCCAGAAACACCCAGTATTCTCGCTGTTGGGGGCCCCGGACTGAGCCACTGATGCACCAGGACCTGCCAAACCCGTGCGTGCGGACGGCGCGGCGACCGGGGCCGAGGGGCGAGGTCCTGCGGACGGGATCGGGTCAGCCCGCCTTCTGAGAGTTGCTGATAGTCACAACTGGGTCCAAGGCTCTCATCCACTTGGCTCTGCCTGGCCCAGCGTCCGGCGGAACATCCCGGACGGTTTGGGGCCTCAAGGACCTCCGTCCGGACCAAGGACGGAGGTCCGGACGAACGGTGTGGACGAAGGCGATGCCGTGACAGGATCATAGCGTCTTGTTGATCGTGCTGCCAGGGGCAGAGAATAGAGTAGCATTCTGCTACCAGGTAGTGCTCCTAGGATCCATCTAGTGCTGCCAGGTAGTGACTGAACTACTGGTAGCATTCAGTCACGGGGCCCAGTGCGACCGTGCACTTGGACCGAGGACGTGAACGCCGAAAACGTCCTGCTGTCTGAGAAATACCAATTTTTGGGGCTAAAACATGTTTGGCAAGACCTCACCAGTGAAAGACTATAGGGAGGTTCAATTGTGCAGGATGTGTTATCTTTTCTCTCTCTCTCTCTCTATCTCGCTTTTCAGTGCACCACGGTGCGTGAAGGCTTAAGTATCCCGTGGAACATCTAAAATTATCACGTCTGCTTTGAGAAAAAACTCATGTCAATGCTTGCTTTCTCTCAACGGTGCGAGCCCGTTCGGCTGGGCCCCCTGACGCGTCACCCGCCCGTCGGCGGCCGTTCCAGCGCCACCAGACCTGACCGGTGTCGAAAGCGGTGAAGACAGCCGTGTGTCGTCGAAAGCGTGCTTTCTTTTGACGTGTTTCTTTTCTGGATGGCAGCAAGAGAAAATCAACTAGAGAGTGTTTCACATATTACTATAAAAGTACAAACAGTCACAGTCAAACAAATGCCATTTATGGTAATTTATGTATGTGTATGAAATGGCAGTAGCAAGTCACCAGAACTTGGATTGAAACTTAGCGAGTGTACTGTTGGCCAGACTGTGAGCGACTCTGAGCAACATGCCCCTGGACCCATTTCAATATCTCTATCCATAGACTCTTCACCCGGCCAAGGGTGGCATGTGTGCGTGCAACCTCTTGGCATTTCGCCACCTCCAGGAGAATAAACAAAAGGACATAAAAGGACTATATACCAAGTTTACAAGAAAAACACGATTGACTCAACGTCTTGCAATCTCCCAGGACTCACTATAATTAAAAAATGTAAACCATCATATAAAATGCATATTAAGTATATTAAGAACCATTGATTAAAATACGTATGACATATATATATATAGTTGTACAAAAAACACACACACACACATATATATATATACACATATAATATGTAGGCTAGGGACTCCCTCCACACGCTCTTCACGGCGCTCCACACGTTTGGAGCAAACCGGCCTCTGCCCAGGCACGCCGTAGATCCAAATCCCGGCGGCGCACCAGGTGCTGCGGTGGCGGCGTCTGGGCATCGTTCCAGGTAGCGCGACGCGCGTCCGGCAGGTCCAGTAGCCCATGTTTGGATACTCCGAGCACTGCTCTAGTCCTGAAGTCCGATATGCTGCCCCATGAGTGTGTCATCTTCTTGTTTTTCCCATGTTTGGATGCTCCAGGGCTGCTTTTTCAAACACGTTTCTGGTTCGGCTTTCCAAGTTCTGTCTCTTCGGTGGGTGCCTTCCCAAAACAGCACGAGTGGATTTCGCGGCTGGTTTTGGCTACTCGCCCCTGAGATGTGAAACCCCACTTGAGGCAATGCCTCCCCAATGACACTCAGACCTGAGAAGCGCAGCGAAGAGAAAAACATAACACATTATATATATTTAGACGCATAGAAACAACTGGGGGTTGCCCGCTGAGTTGTCCCAACTCCCCCAAAAAGGCATCGAAAGGTGACTGATGATGTTTTATCGAGCAGACCGCACCTTCGCAGAGCGTCACCATTTGACGCTCCCTTTTAAGGTCTATCAAAAGGTGACCTGCAGCTCCACTGGTTGCTGTGTTTTACTGCTTGCTGTGGCTCCCGCGGAACCCTCCCCGCGGAACCCTCCGCACCTCTCCGAGGAAGACCTGGGTCCAACGGGCGCGGAAGCCCATTTCGTTGACGCCGTTGCTGACTGCTGGCTGTGCTTGTTCACAGACTATTTCGCAGCACCCAGTGAGTGGAGGTTCCGGGTCTTGGTTTTTTTTCCCCAAGTTCAGCAAGGAATCGGTAACTGCTTGTGGAGTCACTCACGTCTCGCGTCTCGCCTCGTCCGCCTCGTCAGGTCCGATGGAGCGATGGACTCTCTTTTTGGCCACGATGCGTGACTGCGGAGGTGGGCAGTGCTCGTGACTGCCGGCTCTGAATTGTCAGTGTCGAGCATGGTGAGGTCTGAGAACAAACGTCATACAAAACGGTCAAAGACAATGGGAACATGCGAGTAGATTGGCAGAAGGCAGGGACGAAGCGGTGCCGCGGTACGGGCACCGTACCACTCACAATCCAAAGGCCAATCGACTATCACAGGGGAGCGCCCCTGAGGCAGCTAGGGTAGCGCTCTACAAGCAGTATCTAAGCTAGCTGATTCATAACGTTGACACACGTCTGGTGTCAAAGTGTTGGAGGTCGGCTGCGGATGCTGCGGCTGTATCACCCCAAAAAACCCTGGTCACCATCTATACCATCTTTCACCTCATCACAGCCCTATTCATCGCCACAGTCCCCAGCCTTTCGCGGTCCCCTCCAAAAGCTCTTCCCAGGGCGCCGCGGCACCGGCTTTGATGCCGGACTGCGCGCGGGCCTGTGGGTCCTCAGGCGGGTGTCCTGCAAAGGAGTGCCCCGAATGGGCGATCAACCCAGCCGAAACATGGCCCGCGGCACTTCCATGGAGCGGAGATGGATTGGAGGGATTGGAGATGGATTGGATTGGAGATGGATGTGGTTGGCTTGACGGGGCCAGGCCACCATTTCTACCTCAAGGATTTGCGTCAGTTCGCCGGACCTTAAACGACTGAGGCTCGGAGTTCGGCCTAGACTACGGCCAAGTGGGACTGCCGGTGGCGCCAAGGCCAAGACACAAGCTCCTGGTTGACATTTGCCACTCACCCCATGACCATCTGGTTTTCCACGACGAACAGCGGCGAAAGTGACAGTGCTTTTTAGCATCTTTAGACCCGTTTAGGCCAGCGCTTCATGTCAGCGTCGTTGCATGTTGTGGTCCGTTGCTGGTGAGCTCAGCGCACCCGGGCGTCTCGTCCCCCCCAGTCTTGTCCGCCGAAACCCCGGCGGTGCATGGAGGTGACCCGGGAAGAATGCGCACCGCCGGCACTGGACACATCATGGAACGTCCCACAGAACCAAACTCGGAGGGAGGGAGCAGGGGAGTCTGTGGATGATTGGATGATTGCCCCAGGTGCCCCTCGAAGCATTGGATGCACCGCAAGAACAGCGAAAGGATTGCCATTCCGGTGGCTATGACAGGATGCTGCATGTGTCACACGTGTCCTTTAAGGAAGCCCGCGCCAAAGCTCCTCACCTGTGCCGCCCGCTGTAGCCGGTACATTCATCAACGTCGATGTTGCCGTGTCCGGCCCATGTCAACGTTTTTTTGCGATGGGCACCCTTTTCAGTCTCTACACAGGGGATTTCAACACGGAACTCAATAGCTACAAAGCTAGTCCTTTCCAATAAGCATCAATAATCCTTTAGGTAAGACTCTGTAAGACTCTTGATAAAAACAATAAAACCGTGGAGGGTTGATGATCTTGGAGGTTCTTTAATCAAGAGTCTACATTATAGGCTTCTACACCTGCCCGGCTTGTATCACCTTTCCGCCCTGCTTTTCTTCCTCACCACGTTCTCGGTGAAGGAGACATCCACGACCCAAAGGGTTGCGAACCAAGCGAACCAAGCCCCGACAGGTCCTGAGGCTCAAACAGTGCTCAAGATGATGCTGGGGAATAGAGTAGAGTAGTAGGGAGCCGCAGTTGGACCAAAACGAGTGGTGACCCTTGACCTTTTACATTCTTTTACCCACTGGTGGCAGCTTCGTTCACATCATCCAACATCATCAAACATCAACCGAGATGCGAACGCAGCCGGTGGCAATGCGTCCCTCAGGTTTTACGGCAGCACGAACGCAGCTGGACCTTTGACTCCACGACTGAACGTTGCAGCTCGTTTCCAACGTCCAGCGTTCGAGCGCCCCCCCGCGTTTGGACAGTTGCCAGGCCAACAACAAATGTCGTAAGTAGCGATGCCTGAAGATATGCTCTGGAAGGTGAGAAGCGATGGTGAATCACTGTGAAGTCTATTAAACATATGCACGGCTCCAATCACCGCATCCTTCCGTATCCTTCCAGTAACTACCTAATGTTGTTGGACATGCATCGCAAAGGAGCTTTATGAAACAGCGGATTGGCAACCGTTGCTTGTTTCATGGGTGTGTGCCTGGTGCCTCATGAGGCTTCACTTTGCCCTGGCTTTGTACATAGGCATGCATCTCAGCTCAGCAGTATTGGTCCTGGCAAATGGCGAAGTTTGCTTGACGAGATCGGTTGAGGGGTTCGATCTTCCATGCCTGAAATCCGCGGTGATGTGTATGACCTCCATGAACACTCCAAACTCATCTAAACCAGGTAACTAATGTCAACATAGGAGTAAGAAACCACCCCCGATTAATCAATCCCAGCTCGACCCCCCCCAATACTAAACTAATTTAAAGCCTAGATTTCCACCTTGACATCCCCCTAATAATTCTTTTTCCTGGGCAGAAACCTCCCCCCTATTAATCAATTGAATCAATCCCAGCTGCCCCAGAAACGTAAAAATATATATTGTTATTCTATTTATAGTTATTCTATAGTCTATATGTATTTTCTTTTTGGCTAATATCCCATATCTTCTGGTCCATGGTGAAACTGATCTTCTGCCCCACCCTTGTCTCATGCAATCTTTTTGAGAGATAGCATTGGTGTCTTACTTCATCTTGTCATCTTCCTGATTCTCACCACCACCTCTCAACTGCCTCATCCTGCTCACCAATCCTTTTGATGGCTTCTCCCTAAGAGCTCACTCTACCAACCATCCCCAAAACCCCAAAAACGCTCTAGCAAATGTCTTTTACTTTCCCCTATTAAAACTCTATCAAAATCTTAACTATTTCAAGCTCACAAAGGGCATAGGAGGACCCCCCTTCCCCTATTAATCAATCCCACCCTCTGGCCTCATTCTTGTTTTCCAATGCTATCACCAAATGGTTTCCCAATAGTCTCATGGTTCTCATGGTTCAATCTCTCATGACACAGAATCCCATCAACCATGATCCATCACCAGGTGCAGGTCCTCATCTCATCATCCATCATCATCTTTATTAGGGGGATGTGGTCAGGGTGGTCCTCCAATACCTCCAATCTCAGACCTTGTTGACCTTGAAGGGGGGGGCCCCTGTTGCTTAATCCTACATCGACATTATATGGTCACGGGCGCGGTGGTCGCCTAGTACGAAACCAGGCCTGCGTTGTAACACCCCTTGTAAACGGAGCGTTCATGGAACATAGTGAAAGCAGGTTCAAAAACTTTTTGTGTTCATCAATGCGGACCGCGCTTGACTTTCTTTATCGGCCACTGTCTTGGATCACTCGCATCAGAGCTTCCAGCACATCTTCTGGTGCTGACTCTTTCAGCTCTCTTCTCCAAACAAACTGCCACACTCGTCTTTCAATGGCTGGGTTATGCACATATGAGCCTTTCGCTTTGACCCTTCTGGGCAAGTGGGTAGGAATGCAGTTGTTCAATTCATGCCACGCTCGATCTATTTGCTGGACCCCTGCCGTCGAAGACAATTGACATGGCACAACCGATGTCAATTCACACGCAAATTTTGTTTTTGGTGCGCCACTTGAAAATGGAACATACCATCCTCCCCCCCACCCCATTGTTAATCACATGACTAATCGATGACAATGTTATGAAACCGATGATCATGTGGTGAACCCGACTATTATGTTGTGAAAACGATGACAATGCTGCTGTGAAAACCGTGAACATGTCTGAAAACACCAGGCGACTGATCAATCCGTGGGCAACTATAAGTCCAACTACGAAGGTAAGTGAATGAATGGGCGAAAGAAGCGCTGTAAACAAGACCTTGTCGGGTTGATGATGGTTGATGAGGGTCACTATGGACCTTCAACAAACCCGAGTCCAAAATCAACAAACCCTGAACCCAAAGACCCCTCTCCATGGGTCAAACATCGAACACGGGCGTTGAACATGAAACAAAGCACTGGCGTTGGCCAAGTGATCACCCCTCTATCTTGGCACATCGAATTCTCGTGAAGGACAATCCCAAGAAGCTTCCATTTACCACTCAGCCGTCTCATTCTGCCACGCCACTCAGGCATCACTCCGAACCCGCCGCTACGTACGTCCTTCCCGCAATTTCCTCGCCTGTCGCTTGAGGATGTCCTTGGCCTGTGGAGGGAGTGCAAGACCCACCTGCTTCATGTCATAGTCCAACCTCATTCCAAGCGCTCTCAATAGATTGGTTAAAGGGAACATCTACAGGAAACCATGGTTTGCACAAACAAAAGGCCCCCCATTGTTGTATGAGTCCATCTTCTACCATCTTCTACCCCCGCAAAACCCATGGCTTTCCTGCAGATCTTCGCCGCTGAAACCCGTCAATCCGCGGGTTGGGCAGCTGGCCGCAGCGCGCGCGGCGTAGCGCGGACGAAGCTGGCATGAACTGCTCAGATGGGAAATCTGAATCATTGCGCAACCAAATACTAGTAGCCATGGAACATCGATGGAACAATAGCCATGGAAAAAACAACAGCCAAATACGATGTCCTTGTGCACCTTTTGTGGCAGCTTTGGTCTGAAGAATCGACTGGAGTCCTAACAGTATCCGCCAAGAGACATTTCATAGATCAGTTCTTTGAATGAGATCTCCGGCTTCCTGCAGGCTGAAGCAACTGACCGTGCACCGTGCCCCAGTGTGATTCTCTCCGATCTATTTTTTTTGGGGTACCCCTGCCGTAACGACGATGAAGAGTGTTCACGGCTTCCCATATTTATCTGCCAAAGATTTGAACACAAATGTTGCACCCAAAGTCGCATGTGGCTTCCAACTTGAGATCCTACATAGAGTGTGGCGAAACTAGAGGGCACGGCTCCCTTGTATTGGATGAGATACAATTAGTACTTTAAACTTTAAATAATGATGTATTGAAAAAGAAAAACACCAGGTTGTGCCCTAGCTGCCCTGCGCATAAGGCAAGGATGACACATGTTGTACGGGACTTGTCTTCTGGCGACAGATTCCCCATGGCCCATGCCTCTTCAATCCAATAAACATGGAACATATTGGGAAATAGCAGACCTACCGTTTTCCATTCGTATGTTAAAATCATGGCAACCTAAAAGTACCGCAGAACACTCATGAAATTATAGAATTGCATCTGCCCTAAACATATTCCGAGTCACCTTTCAATGGATTCTGTCTATGAAACTGCTACGCTTTATATAAAATTCCCAAAAAGAAACGCACATTCAAACACTTGAAGCGTTCATTCATGTTCCCGTGGTGTGCCGACCTTTAGACTTTCTGAGTCTATGTGTTGAAGGGCATCGGGGCGCATGCATGATCTGAAACTGCGTTGGCGTAGGTGCCTGCCTATCTTGTAGTCTTTCAAGCTCCAGTTTCTTTCATGTTTTGAACAGTTATACATACCTAAGTATTGTTCGATTCTTTCTGAGTTGAGTTCCTTCTGTCCGTTTCTATTAACATGCTGCCGGCTCGCTTCGCGATGGTCTCTCAAGACCGTCGGACGACGACCGTCGTACCCACCATGGCGAAAGAATGAAGCAGGTTTCCGAACACCTGAAGGTCCTCTTGAAGACACGTTGCATTGGAACTGGCCGTCTGTTGTCCCATTCAGCTCATCTGGCTTGAAAAAACCAGGGAGGCATGCCATGGCATGCGGTCATCTACTTGAGCACTGCTCAAATGGTCATCAAACTGTTGGGATCCGTCTCTGGCGTCGGCCGATCACCGGTCGGACCCCGGTCACCGGTCCAGCCCAGCTTGGCACGAGCTTTGGCCGGATCTCCCAGCAAGGTCTCCACCTCCGTAGGGCGGAAGTACTTCTCCGAGACCTGCCGGTCGGTCGGCTACTCGCGGTCCGGGCCGTTTCAACGAAACGACCGCCAGGATGAGAAAAGGGGGGGCAAAAGCATGATGGAGAGCCGAGTCATGCTCCTTGATAGAAGTAGGAATCAATTTGTGTTGGATACTTTCTGTATCTTGTCATTCAATCTGCTGCTAGATGGAATCCATTATAATATAGCATTTGACTCACCATGCTATGATATAAGCTCGTGTACTCAATCGCTTTCAGGATGGACTACCGATCAGGCCTAATCCAAGTCTCACCTGACAAGTTGGTCAACCCTTTTCGGTCCCCTTCTCTCCAAAATCGTAGATAGACTCATCGAAAAGGCAAACCCTTGGCGACTTGGCGCCTTGCGCAACAGAAACCAGGAGCTTGGAATTTCAGTGTAGGAATATTTTTGGCTTTAGCCCTCGCGTTTTGAAACTAACATGCATAAACCGTGCGTGAACCGGATATTAATTTCACCCGGCAGCCATGTTGTATTCGAGAGCAGCTCCACCTCTCAACTCGTGCCCGGCGAAGCCCCCGCGCCCTGAACCACCACGGCGCCTGAACCACCACGTGGCCAGTCTTCTCATCGACACCTTCCTCCTGAAGGCCTTGACCCCGCCTCAGCATTGATGTCCTTTGTAAAATCCAAGGATTCAGCCCAAATGAGCCGTGTCTTGGCTTCCACTCTAGTAGCTTAGCTTCTTGTTACTAGTAGCGATGGCCTCCAACCTAGTAACCCTAGTAGCTTCTTGTTACTAGTAGTAAGGACATACAATACAAAATTTCTATACACAATTGCTTATTATACACATATCGATCATCAAGTGCCTACTTAGGGCCTACTGTCCACTGCGAGTCGAAGACCTGCGCGATGTGGGGCTTCGCGTAGTCCAAGTGGCTTCACACATGGTTTTGCGAGCTCGTTTTGCTGCCTTTTCATTGAATCTAAATTTGCGTCCGCGAGCCATCGCAACACATCATCTATCACATACATGCCGGGTAAATCTAACGAGCCCCCGTCTTGCTTAAATCAATGATTCAAGAAATTCGCTCAAAGGCTTGATTCAAGCAGAATGGAGCCAGGACCTCAGGAGCAGGAAATCATTTCTGAGATTTCCCCAACATGGGGACTGGCCTTCGCCCTTCACCAATAATTAGTATAGGGCTGGGCAAAAATAGCCTATCCCAAACCATCCATGGGATTGGAATATAATAGATGTCTACATTGATCTCTGAACCCCCCCCAATGTAGGTTAAAAGGCCAGTCCCATGGATGGTCTGGTTTATATGTAGCTGTCTTACGACTTGCGCCGGCAGCTACCATCCCATCCTCAGAGATTACCTCCCGGACCAAGGAATGCTTTTTTGCGTTGCGATGATAGCGAGGCCATAGAGATACGGGTGTGCATTAAATTAGGCCTCGCACAAAACCCCTTTGAAAACACTAGACCAAAAGCCATTGGTTTGAGAACTTTACATACACACCCAATATAGTTTCGTCCCTTTAGGCTCTAATGGCTGTTGGGGAAATTCACCAAAAGAATGATCCTGACCACATCAGCCTCTGTGCGCCAGTCGCAGCCTCCGCATATCCTCAAAACTCTGCTGAGATGCCATATGAGTGGGCGGCCCACCTGGCATCGGCGGCTCGTGTTTTCTTGCTCAGGTGCATTGTGGTATCAGGATTTGTGGGAGTCTAAGACAATTCAAGCTTCAAACACATAAAAACGTCTATAGGTGACTCGAAAAGGACTCTCCTGTATAATTACTGCAGGAAAGAAAGAGGAGCTGTGAAATGATGGGTGGAAAAAATCCTATGTCATCAGGAAAGAACCTATATGATGAGCCTGGCACACACACACACACATTTATGTCATTGGCCCTCAAGTGCCCTCAGTATACTTCCGCGGAACTTCGGCAGGGCAAACGTATGCTTAGTGTGTTGGACTTCTATAGGCCCGCCAGTTAAATGTGGTAGAATCGTTTCCAGGCCTCTTATGCTGCGGTGCGTGGTACGGGAATGAACCCGGTTCTACTCACAACAAAGGCATCGTCCGATGGTTTTGGTCACACCCCGGCACCAACAACCTCTTGGACAAGCCACCATCTCAAAACAAAGGGTCACAAGGTCGCGGACGCTGTATTGCCTCAGGCCATTCAAGTCAACAGCTCCACAAGCGTCGATCACAAGTAGCTTGAAACCTAACAAAGGCGAAGGCCCTGCATGTCGCGCTGAAGGCACCTTTCTGCATGAACTGAAGGTGCGCAACGTGCAAATGGAGCCGGGAAGGCAAAGTGGATTCAGACTCCATTTCGATCCTCTTCAAAACTCTCCAAAGAGCTAATGCTGATGTGAGGGCATCGCTTGCAAAGCGGAAAAAGGTACCATGTTTCCAAGCTGCAAAGGTGCTTGGCGACTGCAAACGGAGATGGACATGCCAGGCGGGTAATGTTTTGTTTTCAAACATAAAGTGCATATATATATAGAGAGATGGGTTATATATGTAAAATTGTTATGAATGGCTATGAATGGGTATATATAATTATCTGTTGGGTTATGAATGGTTCATGCTGGGTTTCTGTGTCCTTTCACCGGGCTGGATCACCAAGAAGGTACTAGCTAGGCACCCCAGCTTGTTGGTGGCGACGACAAAGTCGTCTGGCTTCTCGCATTGCAACATCATCCACATCATTCGCACATAGTCCTGTCTGGCCAGCATGTGTTGTGGGGCATCCACGGCAAACTGCTTCAGCACAGTAAGGCATTGCAATGTGAAAGACTTATCAGACTTTTCATCTACCGCAGTAGATACATGCATGACGATGCTCCAAGAGAAAGACCAAGCCACTTCTGCAGGTTTGAGGGAACATCCAAAAAGACCAAGCACAGCTGATTGGAATGAGAAACCTCCCTACTTGAGGCACACTCCAACGAACACATCACAATAGAAAGTGCATGGGAAAAAAACATATCGATGGCACCCCCTGTTCGCATCCCTTCGCCCTTTGGGTCGGGGGTCATGCCGCTCCACCATCATCCACTTCGATGCTTCCACTGAACATGAGATGTAAACCCACCAATCGCAGCAGTTCACATGATGTAAACCCACCGAACTCCCATTTCCGCTCCGCATCAAACGCAAGCAGCGGTGCGCGTTGCGCTCCTTGGCGTGTCCCCAGTCCCGCTTGGAGTCCAAATTGCCCAAAAGGATGCGGGACCTTGTGCCTGCACAGCGCATCAGGATACCATGCCCCAGTCCCGCCCCAGGCACTGCACCTGCAAAACCTGGGAGTTACCAAGTTGAGGGAAGAAACCATAACGTACATGTTTGAGTCCAAGTGTCAACTCGTTTAATGTTTCGTTATTTTTCGAAAAGCCCGTAATGACAAAAAATGATCAAAAACTATCAAATCAAAGGAACCCGGTAGCAAAATCGTATGTTTTTGCAATTTCGCTTTGTTGAGCTAATGTCGTAAAAAGGTGTAGCAACTCTCACACAATTGCAAAGCCTTCATGACCAAAGCCAAAAGAATGGGTCAAGGCCGTGACCAAAAAGAAGTCGGATTGTGGTTTTCCAGGATTCCAGGAGGTGTTCAGGCAAAACCTGCAAATAGCAACTCGGCAATTGGTTGACAAAAAACACCAAAAAAAGTGGTAATCTGGGTACGGCAAGAATCACAAGCACCCAGAATAACTAAACAACAATACACATCAATACACATCCTTAGTGTCATTTTGGGTTGGTGTCACTCACTGATCTGAGGCCCCTCAAGGCGAGAGAAGCCAGAAACCACACCAAATCACCAGTCCACAGCCAAATCTCCATCGGCCTGCAACCACTTGAGCCACATTGGCCGTGACTTTCTTTGTCACGAAGGTTCCTCACCGCGACGCTCTGTCTTCGAGTTGTTCTGTCTTTCTGTGCCGCTCGACGACCTTTTGGCTGCCCTCTATGCCGCACTAGAAACGCGCGTGAGACTGGTCTGCATGCACCAATCTAAGCGGCGATTCTTTCCGCACACCTCACCCTCGCTCGCTTGCTCGCTCGCTCTGTCTCTCTCTTTCTTGCTCTTGGTGGGGGTGGGACCGGCTTGGTCTTCTTCTTGTCTCTCTCTTTACACAATTCTTGTGCGGCACATCGATCGGTTTCTCTCGCGACGTGTCCATGAATCTGGGGCCGGGCGAGCTGCGGCGGCGCTTGGGACGCGAGAAGAAACGCAGGATGTTGCGGCTTTGTTTATATGTGCAGGAGTGAATGCGTTCATATATCGTCTTCTGCAACGAGAGAGAGAGAGAGAGAAAAAGAACACGATCAATTGTAGTATATATATATATATGAGCGACGCTGTTTTTATTTGTTATGTGGGCCTTGCACACTTGAAATTTGGTGAGTGTAAGATCGCTTTCCACGTTTTGAACCTTACTTATGTTAAAGGTTGTTTTCACAATGCAGCAGGCCTTTTGGACATGGAAGCAGACGTGCGACGGTCAAAACTCCTTCTGTGTGGTAAGGTCATGGGTATCGCCTTCAATGGTGGCATCGCTACACACAGCCCAAGCATTGTTTTGACTTGTCGCCGTTTGGTGGGCAGTAGTAGCAGTACCACTAGCAGTAGGAGTAGTAGTAGTAGGAGCAGCAGGAGTAGTAGCAGTAGCAGTAGTGGTAGGAGTAGGAGTAGTAGTAGGTAGGTAGGTAGGTAGGTAGGTAGGTAGGTAGGTAGGTAG